GATGTTCTGTCAAATACGTAAGAACATAAGAAAGCCATGCTGAGTCAGACCAAAGGTCTATCTAGTCTAGCACTCTGTACACATGGGGGCAAACCAGCTGCCCACAGGGCCCCTCGGTGGGTGCAAACCACTTCTGTTCAAGGTCCTCAGCAACTGGGGTCCGCAGGCATGTCATCTTTGGGAAAAGAGGTAGCCCATGGCCAGCAAGGGCAGTAGCTGCTGCTATCGTCCTCCCTCATGAATCTGTCCAATCCCTTTTAAAACCATCCAGATTGGCAGCCGTCGCCATTTCCTGTGGTAACAAATTCTATAGTTTAACTATATATGAAAAGGGTTATGCTTCAAAAAGGCAGAATTGCAATACCAAAGCAGATATGTCTAGCAGTATGGGGATTCTCCTTAGAAAAGAGTAAATTTATAATTCTTCTAGAGATCCCTGAATATGTGAATCTGTTTTTGCTTCACTTAGACACTAGCAGAGATCTAACCTGTCTAAATCTCCAGAACATTCCTTCAGGATCTATGAAAAATTTATACGACTTCACATTCTGGGAAAGCAGAAAACAAAGTAGATTAATATAAGCAACTCATACGATTGCCATTGTTTACACATCTACAGTTTTGGACGATATTTGAGGATGTCTGTTTAAGCATCCTGTTCCTATAGCTGTACCAAATTCAGAATTATTTATTTATTTCATTTCTATCATTTTTTTCTTACGGACTCAAAACAGCTTACCCCTTTCTGCTCCCTTCTCTCAGTCTTATCCCCACAACAACAACCTGTTGTAAACCATCTTGAGACTTCCTAGAAATGCAGACAGTGTAGAAAACCCTTAAATAAACAAACAAACAAACGCCATGGGCTGAAAGTCTGTGACTGGCCCCAGGTCACCCAGTTGGCTCCATGGCCAAGAAGGAACTCGGTTGCCTGAGTCCCAGTCCCAAGCTCTTATATATTTAAAATACTTTTACCCTGTCTTGTATCCGAAATGGATCACTTGACCACTACACTACACTGGTTCTAATTTTTTAAAGCCCCATGTTTGTTTAAGTGCAGTTAACCTTAGATATCTGCAATGAAAATTCTGACAAAGTGATCCTGACAGATCTGCCCACACTTTAGAAGGCTGTTGAACTCCTTGCGTTATGTTGTGTTCCCTGCATTCCCTAAATATTGTCAGGTAGTAGGTGCCGGGAGCGTTTCATACATGTTTTAACACTCTCCCATTGATTCAAGGAGACTTAAGTTGCTTAACTTTGGATGAATTAAGCCTCCTGAGCCATCACGAGTCTTAGTAATGTTTGAGATTTAGGATTCAGTCCCACTAATTCATCAACACCATTCTTTGCGTGTTCTCGATTTAGGAACATGAATGCCTTCACCAAGGTACATATGGTTCTCTGAAGGGTAATTAGTACGAAATGCTATTTCACAGTCTTCTACAGGGAATCACTCTGATCATACAATTATGTTGATTGTCTAACTCAAAATGATACAATCAGGGCGCGCAGCAAGCAGCCTGCAAACTCAGATCTGTATGTGCTTCTTGGACAAGAATTGAAACCAGCACTGCACACAGTTGCTCCTAAACACATCAAAAGCCAATTGTCCAGAAAGATTAACAGAGGGAAGCTCTGCACACAGGCATAATTGTTAACATTCATGAGCTCTGCTGGGATGGCGAAATCTACTCATGTCAGTCAGTCATGGATAGTTAACAGTTTAAACATACAGGTGGCATGAGACTGGCCCAACACCTGTTTCCTTAAAGTCAGTTCATTTCCAGTTTTTATTCAATGTGTCAAAACTTTGTTTTTGGCTTTTTTAATGAATTATTTTCATTAAGTTATTTTCATTATAGGACTCTGCTGAGTCAAACAGTGCTAGATCAAATACAGAAATATAAGAAATTAAAATAACCTATGTAGATAGTATGTCCTGCTCAGTAAGTTATATTGAAATCTCAGTTAAATACACGTGTAATATCAATTTAATAGTCTCATAATATGATCAAATAGTGACAGTTTTTGGAGCAAATATATCTATTTGCCAATCACTTTGCTGACATTTTAATGTATGACCAAATTATATCATCAGTCCATTTATAACCAAAGGAATGTGAGGTTAAAGGCTTAATCCTATGCCTGCTTATGTGGAAGTAAATTCCACAGAAATAAATGGTTTTTATTTTTAAGTAGACATGGATAGGATTATGTGCTAAATATCTCTTTGTAATAGTATCAGTAGGAGCTTTTCTCCCAACAAGTAACAGCTGTAAAAGAGGAATGTTTGTCCAGGTTGCAGCAGGGGAGAGAATGGTTAAAACTTTTCCTTCCTGAATGTGAGGTCCTATCAGAATCCCCAGCAGCTGTCATTGGCATTTTTACAAACATGCTCATTAAATATAAAGAAACTTTTAAGACACACTATGAAGCATGCTTAAACAGAAAAAATCCAGTTGACTAGGGACTGCTGGGAGTTGTAAGATCCCCCACCCCCTCTTTTTTTTTTTTTTTTTTTGAACTAAAGAGCCATAGGACTGAGTCCTTAACATCACTTCTGGCTTATCCTATGCAAAAAATCCAGAGGTTGAAAGTTAGGCTGATCTGGGGAAAAAATTGTGACATTGAAATAGAATGCAAATTCTTTAACACTCTAATTCTAAGTAGCATTGCTCCTATATGTGCCATGCTTTCTAGAAAGAATAAATCAAACAGTAATACCAAAATTATCCTTTTATATGAATAACATCTTAATTGAAATCCAGTTTGTCAGATTTAACATACTATTTAAATTCATTGATAGTTCATCTCCAAATACAGAAACAACAGTAATGGGGGAATGCAACAATATATTAACTTCTGTTGCTTAGCTTTACATCCAACAGAAGTTTCTTTCAAATAAGAATTCTGATGAAATATACTGGTAACATAGAAACACAGAAACAGAGCGAGTAAGAAGGAGCCTCCCAGGCCATCTAGTCTGACCCCGGCGCTAGCCGGCTCCACTCACAACATGCCCACCATGTGCATGTCTAGCCTATCCTTGAACACCCTCACCGATGGGGCCTCAACCACCTCCCACGGAAGCCCATTCCACACCCTCGGGGTCCATGCAAATAGTATTTGCATTACTTGTATTTGTACTTGCTTAGTTATAATTTCTGCTGATTCATTGACTGATCTGTCAATAATACTTAAAATGTTTTCATTATTTACATTTCTGAGTGAGAAGGAATGTGACATTCATACACATAAGCAATAAAGTATCCACAATGCATAACATTCTGAACAGTTAAGGCCACAATCCGAAACATGTGTAAGTCTCACTGAACTCAGTGGAACTTGTTTCTGACTAAACGTGCTAAGCCCAGGCCAGGACCAGCCACTCAGTGGTAGAGCACACACTCTGCTCACACAAGGTCTCAGGTTCAACCCTCACCAGGTGGGGCAGGAGAAAACTGTGCATGAAGCACTGAAGAGCTGATGCCAGTCAGTGTTGTCAATACTGGCACTGATGGGACAAATCATCTGATCAATAGTATAAGGCATTCCTACATTTCTGAGGCCTGTGGGCAGTTTGGGCAATTAGTAAAATGGTCCTGGGAAGTAGTTCAAGAGGCCTGGCAAATGATAAGCACCTGCCCAAAATACTAAGTACAAGGCATTGGTGGGGTCTGAGTGCCAATACACCAAACAGCTCACTGGACCTAGTTTTCCGCAGCAACGTAAACCTAAGTCACAGTAATTCCAGCTGCCAGAAAGAAGGAAGATGCATTTTCAGAGCACCTTGGCTGGTGCTGAGAGTGCCAGCGCCTGGGTCAAGAATGGTGCCGCCCTGTGGAAACCACACTGGCTACTCCTCCATTACGCTTTCAGGCTGAGGCGTTAGTGCCGTTACACTAACCTGAGTAAGGCCCTGAGTGAGGCCCTTGCCTCTGAGAAAAATAATATCTGATGTATAATTTGCACTTTCATTTCAAACTCTTGGAAGACTTGTTAATCTTTTTCTTCTGTACTGAATTGCGTAATAAGAATCACAGGGAAGAAGTGTGCAAGGGGGGATCAGCCATGTTGGAGCTGTAATCATGACACTGTACTATACTGTCGAGTATTTGGCTTGCCAGCAATTTATCTGACCACCCAAGCCCCTAAAGAAGGGAGGCCTTCCCTTTAGCATTGCAACTCTGCGCTGCACAAAACTGAACTTCGGCCTTCTTATATGGACAAGAGAAAAAGACGCGCTGTGCGAAGTCTGCGCACGGCTGTGCGAGGGGGAAGCTGTCAACCTTGATTACCAGCCAAGTTCACAGAATTTCACAGGAAGTTTTGAGAAACGCAACTTGCTACTTAATCTAACTGCTGCACCCCTGTTACTCTCTGGGCTTTGGCTTGGCCCTTGGTGGCTTTTTATTCTTTTTTTTTCTCACATGTGTGACAACGTTGCTTTAACAGTCCTGCAATCATTCTGGAACCCCTTGTATGCCAGCCACCATTATAATTCTGGGCGCCAGGTTGCCGCTTGGCAGAGCGCATCGACGCCCGTGGCTGCTGATGGGAAAGTCAGTGCAAAACTTTCCACAGTTTGCAGGACGAGCACACGTGCTCCGGAGGGGAACGAAGCTTTCCTGGCCTCCTGCGCGGGGCAGAGCTTTTCTGGTCCCCTCCAAGCAACAAACTGTCAGCGCTGACGCAACTAATTAAGGCGCCTAACGGGGCCTAACAGTGAGCTGCAAGGTGCTCACCGCTTCCTCTCCGGTTTGTGCACCGGAGGGCAGGAGGGGAGCCGCGCTGTCTCTGCTGCGAGGGTTTGAAAGAGCCGCTCGGGCCACGCCGAGCCGGGGGCTCCTTGCTGCGGCTGCGGCGCGGCCCGAGCGGCTTTCTTTCTCCACGTGCTGCGGCGGCGGCACCTGCACCACGCGCCTCCCTTGCGCGCAGCCCGCGCGCTCGCCCCGCCGTCCCGCCTCGCCTCGCCTCGCCTCGCCTCGCCCACTCACCAGCGGTAGCAGCCCTCGCTCGCCTCCAGAGTGAAGTTGATCGCGGTGCCGCGCGCGAAGGGCAGCAGCACTTTGGGGATGTTCAGCTTGGAAGGCACCGCGGCGAGGGGCAGGAGGAGCAGGAGCGCAAGCGGCGCCCAAGGCGCGCGGGCGGCGCGGGGCATCCCGCTGGGCGACCGGGCCGGGCCGGGCCGGGCGAGCGGGTCTCGGCGCCCCGGGAGCGCTCCTCGCGGCTCTGCGCGCTGCGCCGTGGCCCGCTCGGAGCCGAGGGAAAGGGGAAGCTCTGGCGGCCGCGCTTGCTTCACCAGCTCCGCGGAGGAATCGCCCGCCTCGGGCTGCTATTCGAGGGACGTCACAGCGCGGGCCAGCCAAAGCCGAGGCCCCACGCGGGGGCCGGGCCCGGGGGGCGGGAAGGAGCGCCTCTCGGGGGCAGGCCGGCCGGCCGGCCCGCCCGGAGAAGCGGCGGCAGGTGCCGGGCCGACGCTGCGTGGCGGCCGCTGGGAGCCCCGCGGGCCGGCTGCTTCCGGGCGCCTCCAGGGAGGCCATTGCTGTGTGTTTGTTTTCAGCCGCGCGCGCTGGAGCGGCGCCACGGGGGCGCTTCAGCTGCAGAGGCTGATACCTGAGAGGAGCAAGGCGCAGGTGGCGCGATCGCAGAGGGCTGCCTTGCCCGCCTCGCGCTTTCTCGAGCAGTGTTTCAGCGGTCCTGTGGATTGCGAGACACTGCCACGGGGCATTAAAAAAGCAAATAAAAAGGAGCTTAAAGCATACCGCAACTTCAGTCTCAGCGACGTATGGCTCAACAATTCTGGCCTTCTGCACTTTCTGTCGGTAATAACGTAACTGAAACATTTTCTTTCAAATGTATGCAGTCTTTTGATAAAAATTATCCACCCCGCTTCAGTTACTGCAACTTTTAAAAGACTTGGAAATACTCTGAAAATATTACTTCTTAATCCGAAGTCACAGTAGCTCTCTTCCGGGGGTGCAGCCATGGGAGGAAGTCTGCTAATTTACCATTCATATGAAAATATGGACCAGAGTGCCTGTAAGACTGAAATTGTATATTAAAAAACACACACGAGGTAACTGGGATTTTACAAATAATGAGTGTTTCATGGAGGTATTGCTAAAGTTGCTGTTTTGTATCCCACCCAAGCTACTTGATAGCCAAACCAAACCACTCAGATTTTTACTACAGAAAAGTACCCCATCTTGTTGATTGATTTAACATATGGGGATGATAATAGGAGGATCGTGTTAGTGTTGTATTCAGTTGTCTCTGTTTTAGCCCAGTATAAAGCACTGTATAATGAAAAAATAGGTGATGGAAAGTTGCTTTCATATGTTAAAGGACTAACAGCAGAATAAGGCTAACATACTCATGTGGTGAAAATCTGATGGCTACTTCTTGTAACGAAAAGCAACACTAAGATTCTCCTAACCAGGGAAGCAGTTGCGTGTAGAGTGTTTTAACACTTGTCCTACATGCTACTTATTCCTCCCAACTCTTTCCCCTCCCTCAGCTGCGTTCTGCAGCTCTGGATAAATGTTTCTGAAGTTCATCAGCCTGGATCCATGGGCAAGAGAAGTATTAAAGAATGTGTGCCACTATGTGGGAAGGATTCTTCTCTCTAGCATGGATCTAAATCAGCCTTTGCCAGCCTGATGACTTTCCACTGACTAGAAGATGCTTAGAGGCTGAAGGGCGGAATTTGTTTATATGCAGGTATCTCCTTCAGTAACAAGATTTGACTGTGATATCATGCAGTTTGCCTCCTAGGATCTGGGTGGCATGGTAATCTAAGTGGATTTCCAATGGCTCCTGGTGGTTTGCTTGCATTGCAGATGATCCCGCTGAAACTCTGAATGTCTTCTCTTTCTCAATATAGCCCTGGTGCCCTGGGAGTCTTTAGGTTACAAGAGCTTCTGGTGCAATCCATATCAGTGATACCACTACATAATAATGTATTTAATATCCCCATTCATTTCCTTTCCCAAGCAAAAACACAGAAACAAGAACAAAAGTACAATAAAACCTCATAAAACCAGAATATGTTGTGCTTAAATAAAACGAAAGCAAAAAAGATTATTGCTTAATTAGAACAGTTTTAATTTGCATTCTAAAAATGCAGGATCAGGCTTTGGAAGGTCATCTTAGGGAGTGAGTTACACAACTGGGGTGCCTAATAGAAAAGCCTCCACTCTGTGCCAGCACTAATATGTTTCCTCAGGCAATGCTACGCAGGCCAAGGAAACGCCAACATTAACTGGTGCTGGGGCCAATGCAAGGGCCCTGTTGTGCACGTTGTGTTTTCAGTTCATGCGGGCTGCTCCATCAGTACCGGCTGGTGACCACTGTGGCTAGTGAGGTGGAGGGCAGGTCTCTGGAACCAAGGGATCGTAGTCAAGGGGTGGATTTCTTTAATTTTCTGCAGTCACACAGACCCTAGCCTCATTGCTGTCTGTAAGCAGGGAAATTGCAATGTATGCCTCCATACCTGTATTGACTATTTTCTGGTCACACATGAGAATACAAAAGGATTTATGTCTTGGATATTCATGTTGATAGTTTTAAAGCAGCCAAAACATTTTAAGGATCCTGTCCTTATCCTGTCCTTATTATTCCATCCTGCATGTTTCTGAGTGTCAGCCATGCTGTGCTGTCAGTGGCTATAACTCTTTTAGTGGCATTTACCATTATTTATTATCTACGACGCATCAATGTAAATGGCCTTGACCCATGTAAAAACAGCGTCCAGCTCCCTCTGGAGAAAGGGCTGGAGACAGAACAGTCAATGTGAGTCTGAAGCTCTGGGCAGCAGTTGTCTCTGGTGAAAATGGAGGAGAACAAGGAGGAAAAGACATGATCCATCCTACCACTGTGTGCTCAACTGTCTGTCAGCAGCCTGGTTTAGTGTGTCATGAGAACCTGCCCATTAAAGAGCCGGATTGCCGACTAGGCAATGTGGCCCAAACAAATATAACTTTGCTGCACAAGAAAGAAACCACGTGGAAATAAATGTAGCTCACCTAGCGTTTTGTTGTTCTTGTTGTAGCAGAACTGTGTAAATCAGAAGTGTTGAAATAACGTGTTTCTTACCCAGCAGATCCTCTGGACATCAGCTACACTTTTTACTGGAAATGTTGCTATCTCACACAAATACCTCTTGCTCCTAGGGAAGAGAAGCTGTCTGATGCTCTCCCCTTGACGGCAGAAAACACTGATGGCTTTATGTGGTACAGCACACTGGTGAGTCATTACTAAGAGCACATGCTTCCAAAAGACACTGGAGACGGATGCAGGGCTGCTGCAGGCCCTTGACTTACTGACACTCCTGGAGTAGTGGATGCATCTGAATCTGAATTAGATTGGAGAGCCCGAGTAGGCACATGTCAACCATCTGTTTTTAATAACTGTAAGCAATCCTGATCATCCCTTGGCATGCATTCACATAAACAAATGTAACATGTGTACCATTCAATTACAAATATGGACAGAATCAATTACTGGGATCTTGGCTTCCAGGAGAAATACTGTTTCAATCAGATAATTATTGCCAGCCATATCCACAATTACCCAGTTCATACAGTATGTTAGGTTATGGGAGCACATAACCAAGGACTACACTTGTGAAGAAAAATACAGTTTGTCAAATTTCAGGAAAGGTATTTGCATCTGGAAGCACATTTGTGGATGAATCTTTTTACTGGTTTCAGTCTTGTGCATGGGAGCTAAACTCAAACCCAAAGCTGTGCATGCTGGCTGGATTAGATTTGATCCAAGTAGTTCCCTCAGCAGCAGAATTTTGCATGGTTCATAGACTCATAGAATAGTACAGTTGGAAGAGGCCAAAAAGGCCACTGATTTCTTCTCACAGGACTCTGTCTCCAGTCCCTGGATTATCCTTGTTGCCCTCCTCTAAACCCTTCCCAGTTAGCCTGCATCTTTCTTAAAAAGTGCCCAGAACTGGATGTATGTAGTTCTCCAGATTAGTCCTGACCGGTGCTGAGTAGCTAACCCATGGGAGTTTGAGTGCTTGATTACTCATCATCTGTTGGGAAGTGGGTGCCACTGTGTTCATTTGATATACATGTACATTACTACATATCATGAAAATTGAACTGTGTCAATCAACTTTTGCAATACAATTCTGTAACATTGGTGTTGTAGAAACATAGAAACAGAGCGAGTCAGAAGGAGCCTCCCGGGCCATCTAGTCTGACTCCCAACTCCAGCCGGCTCTACTCACAACATGCCCCCCATGGGCATGTTGAGCCTATCTTTGAACACTCTCACCGATGGGGCCTCAACCGCCTCCCGTGGAAGTCCACTCCACACCCTCAGGGTCCATGTTATGACCAAGAGAGGTCAGTTGGCTGGCTTATCATGCTGTTGCCTGGAGCCCAAGGGGCCCAAGCTGATGGCTGGAGCAACCAAATGCTGTTCTCCCAAATTGGAGTACTGCATCTTTTGGCCTCTGACACTGACATTGTAACTCCTACCTTTGCCCAGACTAAGGAGTGAAACATACCTGGTGCTGGTAGCGATGGCGACAGCCTTGTAAAAGGCCACTGTGGCAGAAGTCCTTGCACAGGCATTTGTGGATTTTCAAATGTCAACCTCCTGTTGCCTCATGTGCTACTTCCGCCTCCTCCAGCCACCTTCATACTGTAAATGATGTGTTAAGAAAGAACAGACAAAAGATGCTTTCTCATCGTTACCACTAGTTGTCCATCTGAAAGCACCCCATAAGTACAGATGAAATCTACTCAAGCATATTTTCAAGAAGCATAAAAATGGATTAAGTTTCTATTTGTAGCTTCATTGTATAATGCATACTTTTCTAACTTGATTCATTATTGGGATATTATTCATATTTTTCCCAAGGTTGTAGTTGAAACAATATTTATTAGATATAGTCATTCAAGATTGAAATGGCAGTTCCTTTTTCATATAACACAGGTGCCCATTTTATTTCAAAATATAGAATTTCTTGACCCTGCTCTGTCACTGTGAAAAAGCAATTAATGATAAAATCAAAGCTTGGATTTTTTTATATTAACTACATGGCTTTTCATGATTCAACAGTTTTTATTCTAATGCTTTACTTCCACCATTTATCTTAGATTACTGCAGTTTGTTGTAATCAGTCATAATGTCACT